CAGGGAGGGCTGGTTTTGTTGGATTTCATCTGCAAATCTATAAATAAGAAAATCCACTCTTTATCTGCCTTTCTGGGAATTTAAACTCCTGAGCTCGAAGCGCCAAATTTTTGTATGGCCTTTTTGCATTCCTTGACTTGATGTATGTATGGTAAATACTCTCTGTGCCCTGAGAACGCAATAAAGCTGTAGCAATTCTCGCAAGTCTTACATCCTCCAAACTCCAGATATTCGGAGTATTATATCATTTTCAACTTCAAGGATATCTCAGCGATGGAGAGGAGACAGAATAAACCGGAGGAGACCGGACAACTTTACGACACCTTTTGGTCCTATTTGCAAAGCAGGGAGGAGAAAATACATATATTATCGATTCTACTAATACTTGCTTGTGCAAGTTATGAAACTAAAACGTCGTGGGATCTGGTTCAGCACTTGCTGTGCTTGCAGCTCCATGGTGACATTGAACTTGCTCAGGGACAGAATAAACCTTTGCCTTCCTGGCAGATGATTTGCAGACGGAGGTGTGGTTTGGGGGGGACCTGCAGTTCCCCTGACCCACTTTGTCAGGATGGTTTGCTGCTGGCTAAATACCATTAATTTGAAAGCGAGAGGAAAGCGAGCCAAAGGGGAAGGCTGGGAAAGAGGAGAGTCTGAAGAGGGTCCATTTTGGGCAAGAAAGGGTGGAATAAGGCTCTCGAGGCCCTTGGCTGAGGGCTGGGGCTTTTTTGGCTCCACCGACGCGCTGCTCGAGGCACTGGTGGGAGCAGGGGGGCTGCGGGATGGAGAAGGGGACCTTGGCAGCGCCCGGCTGGCGAGAAGGACCAAAGAGCGCTGACGTGGACCACCGCATCTCTGCAAGGCGATGGTTTAAATGTACGTGCTTTGCGGAGTCAGGTACGTCCGATAGATATGCTAATAAGCAAAACGCAGCAAAAATAAAGCAAAGCCGTAGGTGATGAGGAGGTGACGGCCCGGCGGTGCCCCGGCAGCAGCACCCCCGCCGTCTGCCCGCGCCTGCCAGTGAGCAGCGGTGGGAAGGTGCCAGCCCCCGTTGCTCCCAGGGAGAGAGCTCACAGCCGTTTCACAACACCAGCTCGCTTCGATCTCTCCAGGAGCGCCCCGTGCAGCAGAGCCGCTGTGTCCTCCAGCAAGGTCCCGCAGCGCTAATCAGGTCACCAAGCATGAAGCGGCTCTTCTCAGGAAAGCAGCATCCTGGCCTTGTGTCTGAGAGCCTCAGTATGTAAGAGAGACGTTCGCATACGACGCGCTTTGCAGAGCGGCATCCACGATGCGCGCTCACCCGTGCTGGGTGCCGGCGGCAAGGCTGAGCCGTGCCAAAACTGCGATACAAACCCGGAGGAACACCCCGCCACTGGCATCTGCCAGGGCTTGGGAGTCTCGTGCTGTGTCTCACCCCGCACCGGCAGGGACGACCTGAGAGGTCATGCCAGAGCATCTCCTTTCTTTCCTTTGCAAGAAACTTTTTGAAGCACGCTCTGCCTTTTTCTTCAGATGCCGCCGGCCGGGGAGAAAACAGTAGAAAAGGAAACAATTTGTCACGTAGGTGTATGAGAGTGAATAAAATGATTTGGAAGCTCTCTGTAGCTGTATAATTACAACATTGCATTTAAAAAGTGAATTATTGACTTGATTGTCCCCAGCAGCCAGTGGGTAAATGCATAATTACGGACGGTTGGAGCAAGGTACCATTTGCTGGGTAGTCAGGTTAGGCTTTGAAAGGGCTTGGATGCTTTTTTTGGGGCAAGGCTTAGATGAAGCTTAGTCCTTGGTGGGTCACAGCCCAGGTGGACCTTCCGGCAGAGGACAACACCTGGTGCCAGGTATGTCCCGAGGAGCTGATGTAGCAGATGTCACCCCAGCGATGCCACTCCTGTCTGAGGCCGTTCGTTGACAATCCCCGTGCTCGGGAGAGGCAGGCGGGGAAGCCTGCGCGTCTGGGATGTTGGTTTCTTCGCTAATGATATTTTTAGAGAAGCAAGATGGTATCGGTGAGGAGTTCCTCCTACGGGGACGACAAGACCGTAGTTCGCCTTTTAGGTCCCGCCGTTGGTGTTTGAAGTTAATGGAGCTACTACCCAGGTGATGCTGCAGTCCACATCACCTGTATTTCTTCAGCCCTGGAGAGTTAGTGTGTCGGGTGCGTACGTGTGCGTGATCAGGTCTCCTTTGCTTGAGGGGTTTCTTTTTAAAACTTTGTTCAAAGCTGAATGTCGAGCACAGCCTTATTTTCCAACGGCAGGTTTCTTCTGTTCCTCGCTAATCAAGACGTGACAGATTTCCACCCCCCTTAAGTTTCAAAAAAGCACAAAATCAGTCTCAGCCCGATACCTTACTTGCCAAGTTGGAGCTCGAAGCAGGTTTTTTTGGTGGCCAAATCATAATCGCCTTGAAAATGGTGACAGACGTTGAGGTCAGGCCAGTATGCCTGTTGGCATTGGCACGCTCCGGTGGGACCCCGGCACCCCACGCCTCTCCACCGAGGCTCCGGAACACCATGCATTTTGTTGCTTGTCGTTAACAATTTTTTTTTTTTTTTTTTTTTTGTGTGTGTGGGGAAACTAGGTGTTAGGGGTTTGGTTCTGCTGAGAAGAAGGAGTAAATACACAAAATACGTTGAGGCTACAACCAAAACAGTCGTCCATGAAGTTTGTGCTTCTGCAGGGGCCAGATGTTCCCCGGGGTTATGTGGAAGCCCGGCTGCCGGGCTGTGGATGGAGCCCTCCCCGCTCCCGCCTGCGCCCCCCACCAAGGATGCTGGGGAGGAACCGACCTCCTTGTTTCCATCCCTTCCTACTTGCTCTTTCCTCGGGCCCCAAACCCATCTGTTTGGTGGAAACCTGAGCAGTGCTGTAAAACCCGATGAAAATTGGACTTTGGGAGAAAAAAGGGTGAATTCCTGGAGTTCCACACTCCAAGCTAAGTCTTTGAATGGCAAGGAAATGCCAGCTGTACCTTTGTTTTTATTGTTGCTGTTGCTTGGGTTTCTTTTTGAAGTTTGGGTCATGGTGTTAGCTTTTTGGCCCGTTTTTTCTTTAAAAGAGGGGCTTTTAAAAGGCGGGGTAACGAAAAAAAAGGGCATTATTGGTACTTGGTTTAGAAAATATTTTGCCAGTTTTCTTAAAATTATTTCAGGGAGTTTGTATTTGTGGGAAAATAATTATTTTCAGGAATATCACTAAGTCTTTTATGGGTAAATTGTAGATAAGGAAAGGCTGGTAAAGATGGCAAATGAGGTGCTGAGGGTCCCACATAGCAAAACATCTCCTAGATTTTGGACATTTTCACAACTAAGCCGGTCCCAGGATCCATCATCAGGCCTGTTCATAAACAATGTGAACTTGATTTGCAGAATTTTCTTTTTCAAATGCGCAACGGCAATGGTGCGTCTCGTTTGACGAGCAGTGCTGTGTCGGTTCCTAGAGAGCTTCAGGGACATTTTCCCTTTTCAGTGTTTCTGAATCTGGTTCATCTAGGGATAAAGAGAAAAGATTAGAGAGAAAGTACCCTGTTGTACATAAATGCAGCTTCTGCTGTTATTTATTATTATTATAATTATTATGACAACAACAGTGACAACGCTGATGCTAACAGTGCTAACAGCTACTTATAACCCGTTAATGACAGACCAGGTTAATAACGCGCCTTTTGCAATCTGGAGAATTGGGGGGGGGGAAGAGTTAGTGCAAAAAGGAAAAAAATATGTTTGGACAGTTACAGTTTCCCGTCTAAACTGATGTTACCGACTACCAGGAAAAGGTGAGTCACAACAAAGCAGCTATTTCTTACCAAGGGAGAAGTGGGCTGCTGCAGGCGTGGAGTGGACCCACTTATCTCCTGACCCTGTGACGCTTCCTGCGTCCCAACCGTTTCACTTCTCTAGTTTTCAGTTGAAAGGAATTTCAACAGTACGAATTTCCAAAAGAGAGAGAGAGGGAAAAAAAAAAAAGATATTTGACAAGCCAGATGGAGAAGAACTGAATCAAGTACAAGTGGTAACAATTAACTCCATTTTTTTTTTCTTCCCCCCATTAAATACCATAACAACTCCAAATTTATCAGTCCAAAAATCAAGCAGTCAGTTGACATTAAAGCTGAATAAAGAAGTTCCTGGGTTTGGCTCAGGCTGTTCCTCCGATAATTGGTGGCAAGCAGAAGAGATGGAGGGTGCTTACTGCGGGTTGCAGGTGTTCGGGTCGCTTTTAACGTTTGTTCTCTGCAGTTTGATAGCAAGAGGTATGGATATGCCTGGTGGGTGCCAGCAGCCCGGTAAAGACACCTTGGCTTTGCTTACACATGTGCATTTTTGGGGGAAGGTGAAGGAGAATGCGGGAGTTAAGCCACCAAGGCTTGCGGAGAGATGCTGCCGAGAACAAGGACCGGACTGTCCGGGCAGCAAGGCCCAAGTCCTGGTCTGCTCGGAGATTTCTCTGGCACGGGGATTTCTCCGAGGGAGTAAATCTGCAGCTGTGAACGAAATCCTTGCGAACACCATTGGCACGTACGCAGCCACTGCTTACGCCGCCGTTTTGTTTGTGAAAACACTGGGGAAAATGGGGTGTCTCTAATACCGCGTGTTTGTGTGCAGCCCGTGCGATGCCCTGCCATAAAATACACGTTATATTAATATCTTGCTCCTTAATCTGGCGGTCCTTCCCGAACAACGTCCCGCGCTATGGCCTGCCTGTTTTCGATAGGGGCACCGAGAGGATGCTGCACGTGGCGTTTCAGCGTTGCTCTTCTGTAAAGCGCTGGTGTGTCCGGCGAGCGGCTTTCCTGGATCCAGCCCTGACTTTTGAGAAACGAAGGAAGCTCTTCCAAAGCACATTGGCACACGCCTGCAGATTATTCCATTACTCACTTGGCAATGCCTGAACTTGCATGCCTAGCTCCAGAAATCTTTTTTTTTTTTCTTTTTTTTCTTTTTTTCCTTCCCCCTGCCCTCCCTTCCCAGCAGTGGCATCTAGCTGACAGCTTCTCCTCCCAGCTGGTCTTCTCCCCAGCATCTTGTCTGGCTTTGCTGCCGGTGGCTATGGACATAGCTGTGGGTCTTGCTTGGAGCCAGCTATATTGTGCCTGGAGATGTTGGCTTGCTTCGACTTGGACTTTGAGCGCGCCGGGTGTATCTGTGAGGACAGTGCAGAAGAGCCAGCTTTCTTTTTTTTTTAATATTAAAAAAGCCCCTTAATGCTGAAAGCAGCCATCTCTTCCTATTTTACTGAGTAATTGTGCCAACTGCCCTTAAAGGCACTCAAATGCCAATATCCATCCCACTCATTTGTTAACATTTTTCGGATCAGAAGCTAAATCTGTCACTTGTGTGTCACTGGTTAAGTCACTTCTTTTGGGGCAATGGCAGGCAAGAACTGTTCTGCTGCTTTTTTTTGTTGTTTTGTTTTTAAGGCAGGAGCCAATAACTTGAGAAACACTGAACATTTGTGCTGTAGTGAAATGCCATGCCCTGTCACTAGAACTTTGCTGGCTGGGAGGTAAAAGCGGAATAAATAGGTAACAGTGGGTGAGACTTCACGGGGTGCAGGTTTTATATTGGCCGCACGCTTGTATTTGGTACACGGTATCCCCGTGTAATTCTCCGAAAGGGGTGATTTCCCAAATATGAAGAAAATGAGCAGTAAAATTGACCGGGAGGAAAAAACTGTACACGCAAAAATGCGAATGGTAATTGGAAGCTATTTGTAAAGAGTTGATGAGCTGTCCAGGAAGGAGAGGGCAACTTTGGCCCAAATCCAAAACCCACTTCACCCGCTTCAGTGGTGAGATGAGAACAGCAATTAGGTATTAAAAAAATCAATATATGACAATTAAAAAAATGGAAAATAGATAGCAATCAATCGCAGTGGGAAACCATGACGGGTAGAGAACTGGTCAGGGGAGCTGAAGATGCCGAGGAGAACTTGTGCCAGGCATGGATGGGGAGAAGGGAAGAACTTCTCAGGGTCCTGGAGAAAAGAGGAACCCTAGAAGTGATGGATGGATGGAACAAGCAGTAAGGCAGAAATTTTAAATAAATATTTCTGCTGTAGACCCGGAAAGCAGCGGTGTTATGTTTCTGTATCATAGGTGGGTGATGACGTTTTTTTCCTAGCTCATTAGTAGCCGAGGAGGATTTTATACAAGGTCCAATGAAGATAAATATTTTTAAATGAAAAGGCCCTGACAACTTGCACCCAAGAATCCCTAAAGAGTTGACATGTGATGCTGGTTTTTAATAAAGGTTACGGACTGGGAAAATGCCATCAGGTGCTGGTCAGGGTAACTGGGAGAGTTGGCAACACTTTGCTTATCTCTTCTGGGCAAAATAATTGAAGAGCCAATATAAGATTCAATTGATAAAGAATTAAAGGATAGAAATATAATTCATGCCACTCAACTTAGATTTATGGAATATAGATCTTGTCAAATAAACCTGATTTCATTCTTCCAGATGACAACTTTGGTTGATAAATGTAGATGAAATAGACTCTGCAAGGCGTTGGACGCAGCGCTGTGTGACATTGTGTGTAGGAAGACGGAGCACCGGGCAGTATCCCTAGCATGGGCGATTCAGAGCCGGCCAACAGATTCGGGAACGTGGGGGCTTAGCTGCAGAAGCTTCGGTGGGTGGGAGAGGTCAGGAGGGGCTGGTGGGAGCCGCAGTGGTGGTAAGCACTTTGTTGGTGATTAAAAAATGAATCGGGGCTGTGCTTACAGAGCTGGGGTGTGGTACCCCAGAAGGCAGCAGCTCTGTTGGGAAGCTTAGAGGAAAACCAACTCCTTCCCAGCATGACCCCAGGGTGAGAAGGGCTAGGCTGGTCCTCAAGTAGTGGCGAAGGATGGAGGGGTGGCTTCAGGATGGAAAAATAACTAGATTTTGAAGCATGCCTTGATTTCTGGGTGCACAAGTACACTTGTGGTGTGTGTGTGGGCACATGGCGCACCAAAGGGCTTTTCAGCGTATCAGCCAAAAAAAAAACCTCAACAGAGAAAGAGAATGGGTAGAGATTGGAGCCAGAGAAATTCAGGTGGACCCCAGTACCCATCTGTGAGCGTGGTTAGCTGTGGGAACCGACTGGTGGCAAGCAGTGAATGCCCTCCTGAGTTGGTTTGAATGGTTTTCACCAGGATTTTGTGCTTTGCCCTAAAGACGGTTTGCGGGGCTGGAGGAGGTCACACTTTACCCAAAGACATCGTGTTGGTCACAGCACAGGACAACTGAGCGAAAGGTATTGCAGGAAAGGTCAGAGAGTGAGAGCTGGTGGTCCCTTTTGACCTGAAATTCCTCGATGCGAAGCAGCCGAGGACGTGGGCTCCAGCCCCTCTGCCGGTGGCCGAGGAGGGCTTGTTCAGTGGTGACCTGCTTTGCATCTCAATCTGGGGGATTCCTGCTAGCTTCTTGGAAATCAGCCGAAAGCCCCGATGGCGTCGCGATGCTGCTTTGGATAACACATCCCATCACGCTGCTATGGTGGATGATGAGGCAGGAAGAGCCCCGCAGGACCTTCTCCAGCTCTGTCCTCGGCCAGCACCAGCTACTTCATCTCCTTCCAGTGCTCTCCTCGCTTGCCTGTGGTCTTGCCCGGATGCTTTAGCTGGGAAACCCGTGTGGACGTAGAGGCTGGCCCATAGCTAGGAGATATCACTGGATCCGCAGCCTTCGGGTCCTACAATCCCGTCCGACTCTTGGGGAGACCCGAACGCTGTACCAAAAAGCGTGATGGTGGGATGGGACGAAGGAGAGGCAAGTCCCTTCCAAAACCAGGGGTTGCCGCGGCGGTCTGAGGACCCTTCTTGCCGCTGGCGGGCGGCACGTGGATTAGTGCCATAATTCTTGCAGTTTGGCAAGGCTGCATCAGACTGGAACGTATCTCTAGGTGGTGATATGGTCAGTCAATAGCCTTCATAATTAATCAAGCACTAATAGACAAATTAGAAATCGTGTCTCTTCAAAGCAGGAGGTGGAGGCAAACGGCTGGTGGATTTTAACTGTTTCGCTCCTTTATTTTATTGCCTGGTTTTACGGTGCTCCCTTGAAAATGGTGGGTTGTTTAGGGAAGTTTTGTACATAAACATGATTTTAAATTTAAATTATTATCTTGATTACCAAACGCGGATGGTGAATTGAAAACTTGTTTTTCAGGCAAGCAAATGAAGAATAATATTACATTTTACACTCCACTAAATCAATGTAGCCCTAATTTTGCCATGCAGGAAATCAATTCCAGTCTTTATAACAGTCGAAGATGTTATGAACAAAGTAATTTTGCAAATTATGGCAAGTAACACATTTATTGATGACTGTAGTTTAGGAATTTAGAATTTGTGAGTGCTGTAATATAATAAGGCCGTACTGGCAGGAGCTGAGTGAAATACAGATTATACAGTGAAACTGTAATGCATCATTTGCTATTAGTGGACTGGTAATAATTACCAGTTTCAAAGCAGCTTTTTCCATGTAATCTTTAGTCTCAGTCGTAACAGCCCTTCTCATTGACATTATGATTACACGAGCTGCCCTTGTGATCTAGAATATCTAGTTGATGGGAATACTAAAATGTGGTAGTGAACACTCAATGTTGTATCCTCATTATAAGATAAAATGCTATTTTCTCTGACCTGATCTATAAGGTAGAGAGGCGAGGTAGCGTTACATTGTTAGCTCCTACTGTGGTGTTAAAAACTTCCGCTTTATTACGGCAAAGCAAGATGAAATTTTCCCTGTTTGAGATTTTTTTCTCCTGAGCTCACAAATGAGCGTAGGAATGCGCAAGTCCAATTGAATTTCCCTCTAATTTCAGCAGATTTAAGTATTTATCTGCGCTCGCGCGCCTGGCACATACTAAACACCGCAATGCATTTTATTCCGACACCAGCTTCAGGATGCAACATTAAATATTATTCCAAGGGCTTTTAAAGCGATTAAAGTGTTAAATGCCTGCTGTAGATGGTTGAGCCTCCTTTTACTCGCCCGATTCAGCTTCTCAGCCCAAAGGAGGAATAACCGCAGAGCCGGGAGGCAGGGAGGAAAGCTGCGCCGGGGCATCACGGCCAGCGCCGCGGGCTGCCTGCCTCTCCTGTCCCCAGATCATCGTTCAGCTCGCCGGAGAACGAAAACGCCCGTACAGAGCTTTTCTTCCCCTCCTCCCAAGTGAGATGGGAAACATGATGGTTGCAGATAAAGCGATGTTTTCTTTCCAAATCTGTCTTATTTGTTGTTTTTCTTTTTTTTTTTTTTTTTGGTCTTTTTTTCTCCTTCATATTAGGCAAATAGGGGAAACCTATGGGGGCAGCTCTCAGTGCAGCATGTAAAGAGGTTTACCCAGGACTGGTGGTACCTATGGAGCAGACGCCTCGTAACGTAGATGTCGGATCAGGGCAGGGGTACGTGGCAGGTACCACCCCAAGCACTGATGCCCTTGGAGGGCTCCTGTGGTTTATTCAAACCTTGAGAAGATGTTTGGTTTTCTTTTGTTTTTTCTTTTGGTTTTTTTTTTTTTTTTTAATATCACTAAACAGCAGCTCTAAGAGAACTGCTGGGCAGGGCTAGAAAAGAGTTTTTATCCTCCTCTTAGCTCCGGTTTCAGTTTACCAGCATTTAGTATAAAACATCCATAGCGGGGTGGAAGTGAATTATTCGCAAAATTACAGTAATCGATAAAAGCGCGCTCACCTTTGCCATATCTC